GACGGGACTTTTTGCACAAAAAACGTCATTTTTCGACCCCCATTTGACCCCCCGTGGTAAAATCAAAATTCTGAAACCTTACTGCACATCTACATGACACCACTAATCATCCAACAAAAGATGATTAGGCTGCTAAGTAAATGTAAGAGGAGTTCAGGGAAGATAGGGCTTTTTGCATAAAAAACGTCATTTTTCGACCCCCATTTGACCCCCCGGGGCAAAATCAAAATTCCGAAACCTTACTGCACATCTACATGACACCACTAATCATCCCACAAAAGATGATTAGGCTGCTAAGTAAAATGTAAGAGAAGTTCAGGGAAGATGGGGCTTTTTGCATAAAAAACGTCATTTTTCGACCCCCATTTGATCCCCCGGGGCAAAATCAAAATTCTGAAACCTTACTGCACATCTACATGACACCACCAATCATCCCCCAAAAGGTGATTTGGCTGCTGAGTAAAATGTAGAAGGAGTTCAGGGAAGACGGGACTTTTTGCACAAAAAACGTCATTTTTCGACCCCCATTTGACCCCCCGGGGCAAAATCAAAATTCCGAAACCTTACTGCACATCTACATGACACCACCAACCATCTCTTAAAAGATGATTAAGCTACTGTGTAAAATGTAGGAGGAGTTCAGGGAAGAAAAGTGTGACAGACGGACGGACGGACGGACGGACGGACGGACGGACGGACATGAGTAACAACAATATACCCGAACTTTCTTTAGAAAGTGCGGGTATAAAAACTATTCGGGGTAGGGGTTGCTAGGAAGGGGCGAATTGCTATATATAGCGAGATTTCCCACTGAAGACTATATTGAAACTTCCCCGGGGGGAGTCCCAATGTATAGATAGTTTTCGATTGACCTAAAGTTACCTCCCGTTGGTCGCCATATTGGAGGTCGACTCTGTGAGTTTTCCTATTTGTCTTACCAAGTTTAAGAAAATATAGCATAAATATTTGGTGGAAAATCTTTATTAAATAATTTTTTTTAATAAAGGAGGCTTCCAAAAATGTATATACTTCAGAAAAATAATGATTCCTAATTCAAAATCGCAAATATAAAAATTTAAATTTGGTTGAACAATGAAGGAATATGAGCATTTGGACCTCCAGTATGGCGGCCAACGGGAGGTAACTTTTGCTAAATTTAGGTCAATCGAAAACTATCTATAGTCTTCCGAAGGAAGCATCACTATGTAGTCAGTCTTCCAGGGGAAGTCTTACCATCTAGCGAGACTTCCGAGGGAATGGCATGTATCGGGTACATACCTGAACTTATAACAAACATCGGTCTTTTAAAAATTTAAGTTTGATTAATAAAGTATTAAGACATAAAATTGAAAAAACTCGAATAACCCCGGCCCGGGTTTGCTTACCTAATTTTACCAACACTCTTAGCGAACACCCCTGCCACCTAGCGTTATAATGCGGCACTAAATTCGGACAACTTGTATTCGTCTTCATTGAATATGCTTCATTGTTTGCATGATTGAGTTAACGTTCGTAATAGTAATAATCATTTAAGAAACAGTATCGATTTAAAAGAAAGTAAAATGAATTTACAAGAATAAAGCTACATAGAAGTAAGGGCAAAATAAAGAAGGATAAAAGTCAAAGTGAAATATAATGAAGACGAATATGAAAACAATAAAGTGACATATAATTACAATAATAACAAAGCATAAAGAAGTAGGCAGAATAAGAATAAAAGCAAGATACATAGACTTTTGGCGGTAATTCCCTTCCATAGTTTAGAACGCGTACAATTTGAAGTCATTTTGAAGGAGAAAGGTTTTATTTTCTATATGTAATGAAAGAAAATCAAATGAATTTAAAAACTAAACTCAAGTTAAGTTTGAAGAATAAATTGAAAAGGTTTCTACGTTATACTGTAACCTAGGTTGGAACAGTTCACGCCTTTTTCTTAACAATCGACATCAGGGTTAATAAAGCGTGAACTGTCCCATTTCAGTTATACAGCATTCATGTATCTTTTAAATTAATTTCTTTAAAAATTTAGAAGCTAACTCAAACTGTACCCGAGTTTCTAATCCGAGTGTCTAATCTAAAAAGACACCCATCCCTGTTTAATAAGGAAAATATCTGATTTTAGGTGAAGTAAAGCAATATTGATGCTAAAAGCATTATTTCGCCTCGAGTGATTTGCTTATCGTATTTTTCGTTATTTACAATGGATGAATAACGAAGTAAATTTTAAAGCCTTGAAAAGTAAATGTATATTCTACATGATGTATTTTGCAGTTCACGTGCCATGCTAGTATAAAAATACAAAAAAATCATAACTATATGTCACAGACACTTGGAGTTCCGGACCAGAATTTACAGATGAGGTTGTACACATTTGTAAAGGTCATGATTGCCACGTGATCCAACCTCTAATGTTTTACTCCGCTCCTATTTTGAAATGATTTATGGACTTTTGAGCCCGAATACTGTTCGTTACCTCAACATATTTCATGTACTTGTACAGTGAAACTTGTGTAATCCGGACACCGCTTGCTCCAGAGAATTTGGCCGGATTAGACAATTTTCCAGATTAAACAACATATGCAACAATTGAAAATATTGGGAGGTAAAATAAAGTTTAATATTGGTTCGCATTAGGTAAGATTCCAGAATACATAACATCTGGTTTAGACAAGTTTCACTGTATTAATATTATTTTTTAATAATGCCGTTTAGTTTTTTTATTTAAAAAATCGTAAATTATTAATAAGATGAAGTGCACAACCTCTAAATCCAACACTATATCAGAAGATCTTGACAACCATACTGAAGGAAAAAATTCGCTTTGATTTTTTTTATGTAAATCATTCTTTTAGATTCTATATCTGATTGAAATTTAAGGATGATTACGTTTGAGAATGAAATCACACAAATAATGAAAAGCTATTAATGTGGTACATATCAGATTATATTTATCATTATAAATGACATGATAAAGAGCTAAATAGCTTTCATGTGCCTGTTCATCTAGGGGAATCATCTTGAAAATAAAAGACATCATAGGAAACCTCTCTAATGCGCAATAGTAAAAGGCGTAGGGAAAGAAAAAGTGGAAGATAATCGTTGAAGATTCTGGTTATGTCGGCTGCGCGACATCGATCGGAATGTTCTTTATTCCGCCAAACTTTGATGCTGTTTTCGGATAACAAACACAGTGATGCAAAAAATAATAATCTTTTCCCATTTATTTTCAATCAAACAATCAAAAGTCCATCTTTGAGATTATGTGCTTGGTTTGGTTCTGTCTTTTAGACTCTCCTTAAGAGTAATGCCTATGCTGGATCGGCGCTGCGTGTCATTTCCTTTTCTATGTTGGAAATTAACATCGTTTTCTTTACCTTAAAAACAAATGATAGATCATTTTCAATAATAAAATGTATGCTATTTTCAATATAAAAAAGTATGTTATTTTCGAAAGGAAAAGTATAACATTTCCAAAAGATTGCAGAGATTCAATCATTCAGGTGAACAGAATCAAAATATTTCTGTAAAGCATATGTTTCAAAGTTCTTCGTAAAATTTTTGGCTATTGTTAATTGTTCTGTTTATTTTTCTCAAGTAAATCTTTTGGCAGCTACTGATTCAATCTTTTAATCTATTTATCAAAATCTTTTCAAAATGTCAGATTATGCAGATCGTACACATTCAAGAATTATTGCTGATACTTCTTCGTGGCACTTTATCAGTCATTTGTATTGGTTCCACTTTTTTTACTTTTAAAACTTTTCTGTAAATGCAAGCCATTTATTTTTATCTACTAAATTTCCTTTAAGTTTGATCCACATAGAAATCATTGTATTGAACCTGTAAATTATTATGGATGTTACTATGGAGTCTATGTAGAGATAATTTTGTTTTCGGGGCAAGAGCTGAAAGTTCTTTCTTTTAGTAATGATAAATAGATTCCGACTTCGATACTTTGCCGGCTATCCATGACGGGAAGAAAATGAGAGTCCCCTTTCAAATGATTTTGAAGCTGCCTAATGGATTTGGACGTGATCTATTCCCCCATGTGCAATTGCCCTGTTCGCTTTGGGTTTCATTGTATAGTCACTGTGACCAATACAAGCCCTATGTAATTAAGTATTGGCATGTAAGGGATTCGTATGCAATTCACCGCTGTCATAATGGATTCAACAGACCTCAAACGTGATCCTTTGTGGTGAAGTCTCTCAAAGATAACAAAACGAAAATATCGTTCTCCGCCAGGACTTCTTATTAATTCAGGCAATTCAAGACCAAACATGATGGAACTCCAATCTCTCTTATTAGGAGAAATTAACTCAATTCATGTTAAATCAACAAAGTTAACAAAATGTAAAAAATTCAACCAGAGAGTGTCAAGTAAAACTAATGGAAGTACAAAAGTCTTAATAATTGTACTTGTATTATTGTTCCAGTTTTCCAATCAGTTCCATCCACACATAGTAACACAATTTTCATGCCTTATACCAAACACACCAAAGAAGCCTAATTGCATTATTTTGTGACAAAAAATTACATTGATTCGACAATTCTATGCAGAAGCACGAACAAATACCCTCTTATGTTTAAAAGTAGCAATGAGGACAATAGTTCTAGGTTAGTTCAGTCGGTCTTTGTACTTTATTAATCGGTTGAAAATACCTTCAAAATTTTTCATAAACCAAATAGATACTCAGAAAATTATTACAAGTGTAAAATCAGTTGTCACTTTGACACATAAACCCTTACATGTAAGTCATCACATATGCTTAATATAATTAATTTTGATGATCTTTTTTTTATTCAATTCTCGGTTGATATTTGAATTTGTCTTTTAGTATATTATATTATATCAATTATTATACTATATTAATATTAATATAATTATAATTATTATATTAATATTATAATAATGAGATAAATATATTACATGTATATTATATATCATAAATTACCCAGCATCCTCTGTTATGTCAATGTCTCTGATGTTCTAATAATAGGGAGGTGTTGTGTGAGCCTGTGGACCGGTTGCCCACCTGTAGACCGGGGATGATCGCTCGTCGTATGTATGTGGACTCCATGGACTTCAACGACAAATCATACTATGAAGTAGGTATCACATCCCAACCGTTCTCGGAATCTTGGTAACTCTGGTAAATGTATACTTAAAAGGAATAATGATTTTTCTAAAAGGCCAGCTTTGTGATAGCTAAGCATAAAATCATTTTAATATAAGTACAAAAAACCGTTTTATGCCCCAGTAATGAAAAAATTCGGGTTATAGATCTAAATAGTTTTTGCCCTGTCTACCAGGACATCTGTCTATATCTGTTTGTCCGCAAAACTTAAAGTTTGCCAATAATTTTTGATCGGGTGAGATTTTTTATTTCATGTTTCAAATGTGTTTACTTGTTACAAAGCCTTTCTTTAGGTACCAACATATTTGACCCTGGATTTTGACCTACTTTTGAAAGATTTTTTCAAACTTTAACTTTGGTCATAACTTTTGAACAGTTGGTGCTAGGGCTTAAATGCATCACATGTATATTCGTTGTGATCCTTCGATGGGTTTAAATATTTTTGACCATGAACTTTGAGCGTGATCCACTTTTTAAAAACTTATCCTTGGACATAACTTTTGAATCTAAGGGCTTCATAATTTACTGATGTATTTTTCTGTGACAGTGGCCTTTTCACCTTGGAGTTTGACTTTTAAGAAAAAAACATTGACCTTGGCCATAACTTTTGAATATTAATAGTTTTTATAGAGGATTTTATATTTTAACAGGTATATTCATTGAGCTAGTCATTTCTTAAGGCAACGAAGTTTCTTATCCCTTGACCTTGACGTTTGATTTGCATTTGAGAAACTCCAACCATCCCCAAAAGCTGTGACACTGGGGCATCGGTGTTTCACAAACACATCTTGTTTTATTTCACTTAACACTCTGGGCTACATTTTCATTGGTATTTGGTACTGTTACTGACCAAGTATCAGAGTTTTAGATAAACATTATCTATGAGTATTTTTTATATTTGAGTATTGACAACTAGCTGCAATGCTAAATACTAGTAGCAATTACCGACTTGAAAAATTATTAGTTTACTTATTATAGCAGTTTATAAATAATCTCTCATTAATACGATTCCTAAAGCATTGTTTTATAGGGTGAAGTTTACTTTTCTAGTACCAGATATAAACCACTTAATGGGATCTACGAACTGTCCTTACATAGTTTGTCTCATACTAATGTAATGTAAAATAAATACCGTATATAGGGTTATTTTTGCCCCGTTTTTTTTTCGCCCTTTCAATCTTGCAAAGAATTTTGCCCCATCTTAAATTCACCCAATCACACTTTTGTTTCAGAAATTATACTGTATTCTTTGAATTAATATCCCGCTTTAAATTCGCCCAGCCGAGGGGCGAAAAATTTCCCTATATACAGTTATATACATGTATAATGCATGTTTACCATAAAATGTCCCAGTGTTCTGCGCGAAGAGAACACGTCTCCTCAACATGTTCCCTTTGCAACAAATGCTTAAAAAATTCCAAGATTTGACTTTTTGTTCGTTTTCAGGTAAGATGTATTTGTCCATTGAACATAGTACCAAGTTCTCGGCCCCGCGTGAAGGCTACAGTGTACCGTAACCTCCAGTTTGAAGGCTTTGACAGGATCTATAACTATAAGTGTAACGAACAGGACGTAGAGGAGGAATAACGTACAAACTACAGAAAAGACGAAGGTGAGTGACCAGTTGTAACACAGTCAATGCCTGACACTCACTTAAGAAAAGACCAATGGGGTCTTACACAGGACATCCTTAACATACTATCCAAGTCTGGTGTTAATGAGGACTGATCGCTTTTACATGTATTTTTAATGCGGAACTGAATGCTATATATACTACAATATTTCCATTCCTAATATTTTTTTCTGTGATAACCCTTTGAAAGTTAGCGGAGTTGATTTCTTGATAATTCTACCGGAATGTAAATTAGGCAGGTAGATAGGTCAAGAACCAAGGAGGCCTAATATGCATGCAAATCTCGTGCGCATCTGTCTCTGTGACTGACGCTAAGGGGGCCAAATATGCATGTAAATCTCGTGCGGCTGCCTTTGTGTTTGACGTCAGTGGGTGAAGACTATTGAAATTGTCATGGGAGTCATTGTGTAATTTAAATCTATGTCTACATATTTAAAGTCTAAATCTACAACTTTATTTCACAATGAAATGGAAATATAAGGAATCACTGACTAGTTAGTATAATATGCCAGGGACATCAACGATAGTGGTAAACATGGGATAAGCTATGCTTAACGGGCTTCGCCCGTTTTAGAAGGAGGATTATGAGTGCATTTGCTGGATTAACTAGATTTACATTATATCATATGGGTCAACGGTTAAGGGAAAATCTACATTCTAATCCTCTGCAATAACTCTTAAGGTATATTTAACCATTGAAAGTGAATGTCCTTAGCTTCATATGTAGTATCCAATGGATGAAAAACATAGATATATTTGATACTTTCAGACACTAATAAAAGTATATTCCATTTTTATTCACAATTCATATAATTTCCATGTCCTTTCTTTCTTATTATACCCCTGCTTGAAAAGTGGGAGGGTATATAGTGACCGGGATGTCCGTCTAGCTGTACTTCCGTCCGTCCGTCTGTTACGATTTGGTTATCCATCTCTTATTTACCATTGAATGAAATTCAATGAGACTTTCATAGAATTTTTGTAACATATAGTGAAAATGTGTACTTTCTTTTTCGACACATATTTGGGGTTTCAGATAGCAGAAATTGGACACTGCCATTGAGGGATACCAATCTCCATAATTCCTCCTTTACCACTGAAAAAATTTCTTTATAATATAAATACCATTGTGCAATCCTGTTTTACTTTTTGATTTGAAATTAATTTAGGGTCTCCCAGAGCAAACATGGCTATTACCAAAAATAATCATAACGGAAACGGGAGTATCATTTGGTGAGCTCAGTGCTCTCAGAACCTCTAATTTTTAAGCTAATATTGATTGAAATTTAAGGAATAAAATTTACTTAGATGCGCTTACTTTAAGAAGAAGAAGAATTTATAGTGATAAAGTGAATCAAATGCGAGTTCATTTACGTTTTATGAACCAAGAGCCTGGTACTAACTTCGTCACTTTATTTTCACTTGCTAGTGTAAAGCATAGAAATTGCTTTATTTTTCTGTATGATGATCTTGAGTTGAGGGAGACTGTGAGCACTGGGGAACAATGCCTCTGCTCTCATATGAGGAAAATGGCAAAGCGTATTTCTTGACAATTTGTTGTATTGAGATACAACTAGATACAAAACGGCATTTTGTAATAATGATCTTGTGAAAGTCTCATTATTTAAGTATCCAAAGTGTTTAATAAAGAAAAGCAAAGTCAACTAAAAGTACTGTGAGCACTGAGCTCACTAAATGATAATGAAAGTCCATATTTTGCCCTATGAGAACGGAAATCAAAAAGTAAACTAGAGCTAGTGTGAGCACAGAGCTCAATTACATGTATGATATCCCCGTCTCCTATATGATTAAAATGGCAAAGTCCATGTTTTGCTCAGGGAGACCCGACATTAGTGTAACATCAAAAAGTAATTTAGTAGAAGGTGCACAATGGCATTATACGTATTATTATGTAATAAATAGTCTGTGCAAGTATCATTAAATTTTATTCAGTGGTATAGGATGAGTTGAAAATAAGTAATGGGTACCCTTCAATATCATTTAAAAATGGCAGTGTCAGTGTACCCAAAATATGTTTCCGATCAAAAAGTGAAAAATGGAAGATGCACAATGGCACTATATAACAAAGAATAGTTCTATGAAGGTCTCATTAAATTTCATTCAGTGGTATAAGAGGAGTCATGTATAAGAGATGGGTACCCCAAAGCGTAACAGACAGAGGGATGGACGTACAGACGGACGGACATCCCTTTCACTATATACCCTCCTACTTTTTCAAGCGGGGGTATGGATATAAGGAATCACTGTGTAGTTTGCTGGGTCCGCCAGGGACATCAATGGTAGTAGGAAACAAGGGAAAATTATGCATAACGAGCTTCGCCCCATTATCACTCAAAAACAACAAGGGATGCCGAAGATTCTGAAAGGACCACAAAGGACATTCAGAGCACGTTTCTTCAATAAGAGAAGAAGTGATAAATATTTCTTTGAGTTTCCTCCTTTCAAATTTTTTGTGATAAATTACTATTTATGTTTCTGATTATACAGAAAACCCCATCCACATTAAAATCGGTATTTTGAAGCTCAAATATCTCAAGTGCATGCATCGAGAAGACTTTTTTTTGCTTTAAAGGATATCATAAGAATGACGTGCCCGATCCTAATTATTGTTTTTCTAGTGTATGATGGGTGTCCCATTTCCCATTAGCTCTGATTGGTTTCACTAGAAAACCAGTTTATCAACAGACCATATAATTACTGTATTCTATAGGGAAAAGAAAATGAGCATTATCAAAACAAAAATACCTTATTAAAAGACAAAGCCTTATATTTAGGGCGAGTGTAATTAAGTAGAATTACATTATTCATCAAAGACGAAGACATTGTGGAAAGTATTCGGTATTTCCTTTCTTGGGTAATTATTGGTTTCCATTTCTTAGTCTTTTTTTCTTTCGTAGTTCTTAAATTTACATTAGCTAGTCTACGATAAGTCATTTTTGTTTATATAATTCCATTTCTTGCGTTCTGAATTAAGTAAGATACGGTTTCTTTAGTTAAGTGCTAATAAATTAACCCAAGAAACGTAGAGGTAATACTGTTTAGTCTATAGGGTGGTTGCTATCCGAAAAGATTAAGTAAGAATAAAAGAAGCTGATAAGTATCCTACATTAAATTCAACATATGTGCTTTATAGATGAAATATGCAGACGGAGAACGTCGTAGTTCATGCCCTCCTGAATTATCAAAAATAAAATTCATTTTCTTAAATGGGGTCAGGGTAATTAACTTACTTTTGGGTTTCTACATACGAGGGTTGTTAGAAAAGTTCGCGGACACATTGAATTATAGAAAATCTATTGTTTACTGTGAAGTATGACCTATGACTGAATGAACTCCTACATTTTGTTTATTGGTATGTAAAAAATCAGGTCAATATAATAAAATCTTAAAATTTTACAACTATTTTTACTATGGGGTTATGGGATTCACGGAGCAATCACTTGACGTAAGGCGAGGTGACAACCAGATTTCAACTCTTTAAGCTTTGTCGCAGTTCTATGAATTTTTAATTTCTTTATATTTTTTTCATATTTTTTCTACTTTAAAATTGAATATCTATATCAAGACATGTTACTTCTCAACTATAATGTCTTTCATCTGTTTCGGATATTATTGAGATCTTAAAAAATAATAAGGCTGTGCATTCAATCGATCAGGTATGGAAACTATGCAAAACATTGGCGAAACGCAACGTCCATGCGATAGAGGGGTATTGAAGTATCGATGTAGTTAATCATTTAAAATGTTTCTCCTTCCATTCTTATGAAGCTACAACCACTTGAAAACTTGTTCTTTGTATGTGCAGGATATTCCCGACAGCATCTTAAACATTTTAGTCTCTTTTTAGACATTTTCCTGTCTGCACACATAATTTTTACGTAGTGCACTGCTCCATGACGCTCAATGACGTTCCGATTTTTGGCTGTGTACTTACACGTTGATCATTTATAAACAGCTATAAAACAGCCATATACCCTCCAATTTAGTTCAAAATTTTTCCCAGTGCCGTTTCCTGCATACTTAAGCGGCAGGTAAAATATAATAAATCTCTGGGCACTACAATTGTGCAATTTTAATTTTAATAAAGAGTCTTTGTGAACTAAACGTGCCAAAATGTGGCATGCTCCGTGAAGCAAGATTTATCAAAATAAAAATGCCATATATTTTTCAATTATCACCGGAGAGCACCAAATTCTTGTATATTTATTGGAAAAAAATGTCAAGATTATATCTGGAAAGTTTGACCGGTTTCATGGAAATAGCGCGATCACAATAGAACTTGTCCGCGAACTTTTCTAACACCCCTCGTACATATATCTTATACATATAACTCTTCTTATACTGGTTCAAAGTGTTTTCGAAATACTTCGTACACAAATTGACATATAGCCATCAAATAACAATTGCTCCCCGCCCTTCAACTGATCTTAAGTTTTCACCAGTGCAAGCTATGATCCAGAGACTCTGTTCTAATTCAAAAACTATCACGAAGTTCCAAAATGACCTCAGTCTTTTTTCACTTTGCCTTTCCCCTATCCTCCGAGATGTACAAACTAATTATTTCAAACATATGGAAGATACCATCCTGACATAAAATGATAATAAATGGACAAAAAGAAAACGGCTTATACAATTTTTGATAACTAGGCGTCGATTTCATCAGTTCCAGTACATTAAATCAAAACTTAACACATTAATATTATTTTCATATTTCAGAGATTCTTGTTTGTATGTTATGGATTCTTTTTTTTTTCAGGTGGAAGAAACGAGACTAGTCAGCGTCAGACATGATGCACTTTCCAGATATTGGTGAAAATGAAAGCAACATTGTAAACTTACTTTTGTTGTTGACAATCTATTGTTTAATTTCATAAGTGTTCATATGACCACGCTATTTCCAACTGAGCTTTACATCAGAGTAAATGCTGAATTTCATTGTTTTTCATTTTAATACATTCCTCTGCAACATATGTGAGTATTTTTAAAGGCTAATCTTATTTTGAATATTTTTTAAACGGAAAGAAATTATTGTATAGATTATTTTAAAGCTTATTCTACATGATCTGGAATGCTTTTACGTGAATTTGAAGAATATTTTATTTCCATAAATAATTTAAAACATTCTGATCAGCATGATATTCACATACATTGTATATGTATTCTGTGTCAATTATCATTATCAACATCAATGCAAAAACTTTAAAAATGTTTGAGTTGTTGTTACTCCATTTTGTGGTAAAATCAATCTAAAGCGTAACAGAGTTAAATGTAAGAATTCAGTTCAGACGTTATTGGTCTGTTACAACGCACTTTGAAAAATTACGCACTTTGAAAATTTTAAGTGCGTTAAATTTGGAACCAAATCAATGCCCTTTGAAAAAATAAAATTTCTTTTCAAAGTACCTTAATATCGACCATATTAACGCGCACTTTGAAAAAATGTGTATGCAAATCTTAGGTATGATAAATAATTGAACATGTTTGATAACTTTTCGTAAATAAGGTCACTTCAGATCAGGATGTGAAAGTGAGCGAATTTGATTTTTTCATACCACGATACTTTGAAAATTCTTTCTCTTTTAAATGTTTTACTGTACTTATTTTTTTCCAGTTTGCATGCATTTTATGTCAACTAAAATTTATTAAAATTTTTCAACGTCATACCAGTTAAATAAAAACATTTATTACATTTTTACCCGTGAAATACTGTAATTTATTCATTGAATAAAAATGATATCCTGTCACAGTGTGAAATGATATCAAAATGATATCCTGTCACAGTGTGACGAATATCAGAAGTGCGGGAAAACTCTAGATTTCCCTTCCCATAACGAAGATTGTTGTAAAAAAAAAATTCCTCGACCTGATGTAAGATAGATGAAAATAAATAAACCATTCTGGCAGCGAATAAAACTGTCAAAATTACCAAAAATATGTTGCTAAATCCATGTTTACAGTGTTTTCACTTCACATAGCTATGACGTCTCAACCGCTCAACTATGACGTCACGAGCATATGACTGTATTACAAAAAGACAGAGGGGGGGGTAGGCACACAAATGCTTTGCAAAGATATACATAATACAGGTATTGAAAATTGGGGCTTACCTTGGGGGGGGGGGGAGATTTTCAATTTGCTACCGACGGCTATGTACAATGTATAAAAAAAAGAGTTGGACTGAGAGACCCTCTACTAGTAAGTCGTCTTCTCCTTGTTCTCAGTGAGGTTAAGTGAATACATGTAAATTAAAGAGTTTTTCGAAAGATATAATTATTACAAAATCATTCTCTTAATTACTAAAATCTAAGTCTAGGATTTTTTTTTATTTTATACATATTTTTTACAAAGTGCGTTAAATGTCCTCATGGTAAAAATATTTATGTACACTCTTAACGCACTTTGAATACTTTTATCAAAGTGCGTTGAGTGCATGTCCCAAATTTAACGCACTTTGAAAAAAAAATTTCAAAGTGCATTAATTTTGTCCCAATCTTAACGTACTTTGCGTAATTTTTTCAAAGTGCTTTGCCAGATTGGTGTAATTTTTAAATTTTACATCATTGTACTGCAAACATGATTATTTCCGCCTTTTTACATGTACAACGTCTTGTAGACTATTTTGTTCTGCTTTTTGGTTTAGCATAGACAAAATTATTTCGATGAAATATGAAGATAACTAATTTGCTGTAGTTATGCTCAAAAGTTCACTTAAACAATATGCATATAATGAGCAGAGGTAACACTAGCCTCTGAAAACATAGGTGCGATCAGGTGCCATGAACTAGAAAGAGCCCCTGTCCACTGGTCATAACTTTCATGTGCCCCATGTTTTAAATGATTCCTGGTAAACAAAAAAAAAAAAAATTGGACAATTCAATGTAATAATAGTGGCTGGACAATCCATATAAATTTGACTTGTTCGATTGAAAGACAAATTTTATTTGACCATAGAAGAATCAGGGGCATTAAGACCCTAAATATGCCCCACCCATAATGGACAAAATATTATAAATATTAAAAGAATTATGATTGAATCACACCTTTTCAGACATATTTTGATGAAAAAACCACTACTAAGACAATTTGGGGTCACTACAAAAATAACACAATTTTCACTGATTTCTGGAAATTTTTAATAATTTTTTTTTTCTGTAAATATAATTAAAGAAATATAAGATGGATTTTTAATAAAAATACAACAGAAATGATCTTAAACATGTGAATAGAAACTATTTTTTTTTAGCTAAAAGTGGTAAAAAATGGATTTAATGTAAAACAGTTGTTAGCTCACCTGAGCTGAAAGCTCCAGTGAGCTTTTCTGATCACATTTTGTCCGTCGTCCGTCTGTCTGTCTGTCCGTCTGTAAACTTTTCACATTTTCGACTTCTTCTCAAGAGCCGCTGGGCCACTTTCAACCAAACTTGCCACAAAGCATCCTTGGCTGAAGGGAATTCAAGTTTGTTCAAATGAAGGGCCACGCCCTCATTCAAGGGGAGATAATTGGGAATTAATGAAAATTTGTTTTAAAAAGTTTTAAAAATCTTCTTCTCAAGAACCACTGTGCCAGGAAAGATGAAACTTATGTGAAAACATCCTCAAGTAGTGTAGATTCAAATTTGTTCAAATCATGACCCCCGGGGGTAGGGTGGGGCCAAAATGGCCGACCATAGTTTTACATAGAAATATATAGGAAAATTCTTAAAAAATCTTCTTCTCAAGAAAAGGAAAGCCATAATTGATCATATTTATATGGAAGCATCCTCAGGTACTGTAGATTCAAGTTTGTTCAAATCATGACCCCCGGGGGTAGGTCGGGGCCAAAATGGCCGACCATAGTTTTACATAGAAATATATAGGAAAATTCTTTAAAAATCTTCTTCTTAAGAATAGCAAAGCCATAACTAATCATATTTATATGGAAGCATCCTCAGGTAGTGAAGATTCAAGTTTGTTCAAATAATGACCCCCTGGGGTAGGGCTGGGCCACAATTGCCGACCATAGTTTTACATAGAAATATATAGGAAAATTCTTTATAAATCTTCTTCTCAAGAATAGAAAAGCCATAATTGATCATATTTATATGGAAGCATCCTCAGGTTCTGGTAGCGAAGATTCAAGTTTGTTCAAATGATGACCCCCGGGGTAGGGCTGAGCCAAAATAGCCGACCACAGTTTTACATAGAAATATATGGGAAAATTCTTTAAAAATCATTTTCTCAAGAATAGCAAAACCATTATTGGTCATGGGACTATTTTTGGATTTAAACTTTTCAATAATAAACCAATTGCTACTTTTTCCAAGCCTCAGTGCTCAGGTGAGCGATGTGGCCCATGGGCCTCTTGTTTTTATGTTCAAAATCAGAGATATCTGGGAACTCAAGATAACTTTAAATGGACTCCACTCACAATATGTACTTTACGGTAAAAATATTTCAAATAAAATCCTATTCACTCTATCAGAAACTATAAATGAGGAAAAATAACCTTTAATGTTAATTTTTCAAAGACAAGTACTATTCTATGTATTTAACATAAAAAGAATGCACAAAGTGAACAAACAAGATATGTATTCAACTAACATTTTTATTAACAATTCATTAAACTTGACAAAAATAATATTAAGGGATTTCAGTTTGCAAAAACAAATTCCAGAACTCCCATCACCCACCTATACTTTTACCAAAAAGATCATAGAAGTTTAACATCACACCACTCATGCCTACACTACATTTACTCATAATAAGATAATGTTTATCATCCTCAAAATGTCATAAAAATGAACTAAGCATCAGAGAATTAGTTATACTAGTACATGTTTGTCTGGAAAGGTTTTGTAATTATATTACAAAAAATAACAAGTACTTATATATAGTCATGTGAATTATTAACAAAGTTCAATATGCAAATAAACACACTGCACAATAAACTATAATTGTTACTGTTATCTGAGAAACATTTTGTGATGCATTATGCATTTTACATCAGTATATTAATTTTGATAACAATTATTCATGAAGTACTATCATATGATAACAACAAATCATTTCATTTGTCAAGGTACATAATTAATCTTTCAATATTTACAACCGAACTTGTTAAACTCATGCAATGAATCTAATATGTTTTTGGGATGTACAATGTACTATATTTTAATTTCTCGATTATATAACAGATGTTAAGAGATCACAATTTAAACATTAAAAAAAATCATAGATACATAAAAATCCCTATTTACAATTAATAAATAACAATATATACACAGCCTTCCACTATATTGTTGAAAACAATAATGGGAGTCTAATGCAGTGGATATCATATCCTGCAGATTGATTGATTGATTGTATATTGTTTAACATCCCTCTCGAGAATTTTCACACATATGGAGACGCCTATAATCTGCAGAATGTTCACTCTCAATAAACCAATGTCGCAATTCATGTCACTCTTCCGTTGCACCCATTTCACTTTCTGATGAGCCATCCATTACTGCAGGAAGCACAGCTGCATCCTCAAGGTAGTCAGCCCAGTCTTGAGTAGGTCTTACTGCTAAGTCTGTGTGTCTGTCATAGCCAAGAAACCACAATACTGAGGCCACATGGGCACGACACTGACAATACCAACAAGTAACAGCTCCAGTAACAGAATATTGTTTTGGACCATCTCCAGGCATCCTACAATTAAACTATAAATATCAAAATTAAATTACTATATATATTATGTATGCATATTTTTTCTATAACTATGGAAGGAGGGGGGGGGGGGTTACTTGTACAGTGTATATACATTTGCATAAGATTTTCTATATATATGAAAAAAGGGAATAATTTATTAATATTACCAGGTATAATATATAATTATTTCATTCATGAAATCAATTTAAATAGCAGTTTTATTGATTTTATTGAATAAAATCAGAGGCAAAGACATTATTGAGTACTTTAAATTAAAACAAAAAAGATGAAGCTTGTAATGACAAACATTTTTTTTCATTTAAATGGTGACTTAAGTGAATTTAAAATATTCCATGGTAATCTAATTATTTTTTTAATACTTACAAGAGTTTAAATCTACGTTAATAATATTTTAATTAATTGGTTTAAAAAAAACAACAAAAAATACATTGTTCCCACAAGAAAAATAGAAAGAATTTTATTTATAATTATTATTTATTCTGCAAAGAACATTAATTAGATTTAGTGATGTTAGC